ATTACTTCCTTTTAGTCTAAACTACCAATTGTTAGTCGTTCTTATTAGTTCTTTTTATTCATCATATTAAAAAGAATTTATCCTTTAGACATTAGTACTAATGCAATGTTACGACCTTGTTAACATTGAATGAGTTTGTTTTGACTCACATCTGCTCATTAAACGTCCTTGTTCAAAAGAGAAGAAAAAGATAGTACAAGCTTTTTTCTTTTCTTTGCTCTGCTGAATAGCAGAGCATATATTTATGCTGTGAATGTCACAGATAGACGAGTGATGAGGAAAAAAAAAGAAAAAAAAGTCGTCGATATTGTCTACGATCCTTTTTTTTTCTTTTTATATTTCTACTGCTTACTACTAACTTTGCTTGAGATGTAGGCGCTTACAAAAAAAAAGCGACGAGGTCATATACATGGAAAATTCGTTCGTTCATTCTAACAGAGAGAAATGAGCGAGCGAGAGAGAGAGCGGTCGTGCGCTAACTTTTTTTTTCTTTATATCGACCATCAGCTGAAGAGTGTAGAAGAAAAAGAGAAAAAAAAAAAACTCTCTTTTATATTTGAACGGCAAAAGAATAGAAAAAACATTATATTCTAACTACGCATATCGTATCACGTATAGATCGAATTCGCACGTCACATGTCAAATCTTTCGTCGTAAGTTAAAATATTTCTAAAAAATAAAAATCATAAAATGATAATTTTTCTTTCTAGTTTTTCATCAATGGCTACTATACTACAAACATCTAATATTGTTTGGCAAAGTGTTAGTCTAACTGATGAACTTAAAATAAATCTTGAATATGATATTCATCGTGGTTTGCTTAATATTTTTGTAAAAAATATTGGTAATAATGACAAATTACCATGTCATATTAATATTCTATCGAAACAATCTGAAGATATATGTGAATTAATATCGAATTCTAATAATAATTATCTAATATCATCTGAAATACAGCAAGGTTTGTATATATTATTATTATTATGAATAATTAAAATTATGTTTTAATTATTATATTAGATCTAACAAACATGATAACTGATAATGAACTAAAAATTTGTTATGAAATATCAACAACTTATGTTTATGATATAATTGATGAGAATGAAAATACCGATCATACTGATTTTAGTCAAACAATGATTTCATCATCCTGCTATGATGATCAGACAATGGATAATGATGATGGATATTCAACACATTCATTTGATGATACTGAACAATCACTAGCAATTCCTTCATCCAAATTAATTATACCATCCTTTTCCTCTCTACATCATTATTCTGAACAGTATGTTTCACCTGTCCGTCAACTAATTGAACAGCTGACATGGTTAAATCCATTTAAAAAGACTATGCAAAAAATGATGATGAATCATATATTTGTATAATTTAATGAATTCATTGTTATTAAGAAGTGACATGTATCTGTATGTTTCTATGTATTTTTCAATATGTCAGTGTATTTTGTTGTATGCGCATGTAGCTTCGGTCAATATTTTTTTTGTGTTGAATTTAAGTAGTCATACGGAGGTGGTAAATTATTAATATATGAGTCAACACAACATCATCGCCATATTCTCAATTAATCGTAAATGAAATAGAAGGTGAAAGAGAAAAGAAATTAATTCTGTATATCAGTCATCATCGATGTTTAAATGAAAAAAAAATATTTAATTTTTTGTTTTTCTTTTTCTTTTTCTTCTGAATTTTATAATTCTTCTTTCTTTTGCAGATTTGATTACCTAACTTGAATGTATTTTTATTATATATATATACATATACAGGTGAATAGGTGTACATCTATTTATTGTAATGAATAAATCGGAATATATATATGTTAATGAACATTTAATATCATCATCATTAAATTGTCCTATTTGTTTGAATATTCTTGAAGATCCACATACACATACAAAATGTGATAGTGCATTTTGTCGTTCATGTTTATTACAATTAGTTGAACCTAATTGTCCAATATGTCGTTGTTATTTGGATAATATGTTACCTATTGAATTTAATAGAGATTTACCAAAATCAAATCGACTTATTCGTAATATGCTTGATGAATTATTTGTTGAATGTATTCAATGTCATACAATTCATCGTCGTGGACAATTTAAACATAAATGTCAACCAAAGAAAATTTTTTTATCGACTAAACGTCAAAAATGGGAAGTATTTCAAATGCTTCTTTCAGTTATAGTCATTTTTCTATTAATTTTAATTATTTATTATAATCGAAATTATGTTTTTGAAACAGCTATCGATCGTCATAATGAATTAATTAAAGAAATAGGTATTGATATTGATAAATATTTATTCAATAAAATATACTATTTAATAGTTAAATTTATTGAATATTCTATACCTGTATTTATATTTAATCTATTTCTTTGGTTTATTATATTATTTTATGGTGATCGATATACATCGAAAACAACTAGTAGAATATTAAAAAAAATTTTTGAAATAACAATTATTATTAATCTTATAGGACATTCACTTTATTATTAATATATGTATAAAAAGAAAAAAAAAAGAAAAAATTTTTATTTCATTTTATGAAATATAGGTAAATAAAATATGTTCTTTTTTTTGTGTTTTTCTTTATAAATAAAATAAATTAATCCAAATTCATTGCATTTATAAAATCTTGTTGAGTTTGTCTTGCTATTTGAATACGATTTTCATGATCACGAGTATAACTAATAAGTAATTCATTGAGATTATTGGTAAAAAACCCGTGTTGTTGTTGTTGTTGTTGTTGTAATTTATTAGTATTTAATAAATTCATTATATCATTTGATGGTATTATTGGTTTAGAATTAAGAATAGTTTTTAAATCAAAACCTTCTTCATATGGAATATCTGCTGCAGAACCATATCGAAGTGGTATATTATTAAAATTTATAGATGATGAAGGTTTAATTTCATTAATAATTTGATTATCATGAGTAATTGGTTTTTCAACAATAGAATCCATATTTGTCAAGGATAAAGATTTGCTATCTAGAGTATAGGACATCAATTTTGAGTACAAAAAAAAAATACGAATATAAACATTATTTTTCTATGGAAAAAAATTCTATGACGTAAATTTTTTTTTTTTGGTTTTACTTACCATGTGATTCAAATGTATGGGGAACTTCGATCGATGATGTGTCATATAAAATTTCGAAATCATCATCATCATCATAATTGTTTGAATGAACTTGTTGTGTCATTGTAGGCAAACAAAAGCAATGTCACCTGAGTTAGTTTTTCGTAGTTATAATAAATAAAGTATGATTCAATGTTTTGTATTCAATTTCCAACGAGACAAAATGTTTAAGAAAAAGCAACGACAATTTTTCTATTCTGTTCTGTCGCTTAGTCATCTCACCAAATAACAAGAAAAGAAAAAAAGAATAGTAGCAGCGAGTAGTTTCGATCTACCGACCTCTGAGTTATGAGCCCAGCACGCTTCCACTGCGCCACGCTGCTGTGTTTTATTCTGAATCGATTTCTAAAGTTATTTTAATAAGCATAATTTCTCGAATTCTGTCTTCGTAATTTAAATTTATACTATAAAATTCGATAAGACAATCAATATTTTATTGTGTTTTCGCAACAAAAAACAAAAACATTCAGAATAAAAATGTATTAAGAATGAATAATACAATCAGGATGACATGTTTTAATACAATCATCTGGATATTTTTCATTAAAAATTCGACAAAATCCATAAGCTTTTTGCATTAAACAATCATCTCGTCTATCAATACATTTTTCTTGTTGTATATTTCTTATTGTTGTTGTATCCGATATTGAATTATTTTCTTCGATCAATATTGAACTATTAAATAATGATGAAATATCTTTTAAACGTTGTACAGGTATACATTGACCACATGAACGTTGACATGCTTGAGGTACAGAAAGAAAATCATTATCAACAAGTATTGTATAACGATTATCACAATATTCATTACGTAATTGATAAATTGAACAATAAGAACTTTTATCATAACATGAAACACCTTTTTTTTATTTTTTTTTTTGCAAAATATAAAAATTTATATTAGATTATTTTTTGCATTTTGATAAATACTTACATTGATATTGATTTCCTATTTGTTCACATCGTTCGTTTGGTAAACATGGATTAGTAGTACATATATCTGTATACTAAAAATTCATTATAATAAATAACAAAAAACAAATTAATATATATGAAATTAAAGAAAAAGTATTACTTGACAATGATCACCAAATTTGCCTATTGGACATACACAAACAATACTATTTTGTGTAGCTGTACAAATACCACCATTACATGATGTTGATGAGCAAAGTGTTGCTGACAAATCAAAAAAAAATTATCTTATCAATCACTTTTGTTTTTTATCTTCTTACCTTCACAATAACTTCCTGTAAATCCTTGAAGACAAAAACATTGTGTAGATAATGTTCCATTTGTATTATATCGACCAAAACAAGTACCATCATTCAAGCATGGATTGTTTTGAATACAGGGATTTTCTATTAGACAAGAAAAAAAAACTTATTGATTTTATATTTTTCTTTCTAATTTACCATATTGACATGATGGTCCAATATATTGTGATGTACACATACACATACCATTTATACATGAACCATTATTCATACATTCTACTAAACAACTACCATTCATTAGTATATTAAGTGGTATTTCACAATATTGACCAGTATATAAACTTGAACAAGTACATGTAAATGAAACACTTGTTGTATTAGAAATAACAGAACAAATACCATCATTTCGACATATTTGATTATAACATGGATTATCTAATTAATCAAAAAAAAAAGACAAAAAAATTCTAATCATAAGTTTTTCAAATAAGAAAACTATTTACCAAATCCACAAAATGTTCCTGTATATTGAGCTGGACAAATACATACTCCATTATTACATGGACTTCTACAAAAATAAAATTTTCAGATTAAAACTAGTTAGAGCAAACCCCTGGGAGATTAAATGGTCAAACATAATGTAGCTGCTCTTATTAATCACAGAAATATTGTTTCAAGACACCATCGTTAAAAATGATAATCATACTGTCACCTGAAAAATTAATATCTGATAAAAATGCAACTGTTCGAAAGACAAATCAAGTATATTTTATGAATCTTCAAATTGAGCTCTATACAATGGTAAAAAAATGAAGTGATATTTCCTTTTGTGATTTGAATAATATCCAATATATTTTAATCAATGGTTGACTTTTTGTGTTAAAAAAACTATTCTAGTTCTATAAGGATTTGAGAAAATCCTAGACCCAAAAAACTGGTCAAATTTCTGTCATCTTAGAAGAAAATATCTTTTTGTGAAGGAAAGTATTACATTGGCACATAAGTTCTGCACGTTTTTTAGACCAATTTGAGGTTTTATATCTCTTTCCAATCATGAGCTATAAAACCATTAGTTCTAAAAGATTTGCCACATTCTTTTGTATCAAAAGTACAAATAAAAATTTCTCCAGCGAAAGTTAAGCCATGTCCATGTGTTCTATAGAGTTTGCCCATCGTGTATATTTTACAAGACAAAAAACAAACTATTTACCCATTCATACATAATCCTCCACAAGGATTAAGCATAGATGTTTCACATCTATTTCCTGTATACGTTCCAACACAACGACAATTAAACCATGTATCTGTTGAATTCCAATTTGCTTGACATATACCTTGATTTAAACAGGGTGATGATAAACATGGATTATTACGTTCACATTTTTCACCAATAAAATTTTCTTGACATACACATGTATAAGTTTTATTTGATGTTGATAATGCACAATAACCACGTGTTTGACAAGGATTACTAGCACAAGGATCACTTTCTTTTAATATATCACAATATATACCTGTAAATTCTTCTCGACAAAGACATGAACTTATAGGTGGATCAGTATTTGATGATACACATGTACCCTCATTGTGACAAATCGATGATGATAGACTACATGGATTATCTAAAATAAAAGTCAAAAGAAGATAAATGTTTAGGAAAATTATTTTATAATTTACCATATTGACAAAATGTGCCAACTTTATTTCCTGCACATGTACATACTGGACCTGTTGGTTGTTCACTACATATTTTATATGCTGGACAAACCATATTTGAACAAGAACTAATTGCTAAAATAAAAAAGAATTTAACGAAAAAAGAATTTCAATACGAAATTTTATATTTACCTGTATCACAATTTTGTCCATATATACCCGGTGGACAAACACAACGATAAGCTGACCAACTTGTACCTGTATCAACAAGTAATGTCGTACAGCCACCTCCATTTTTACATGGTGATCTTGCACAAGAATCTCCTAAATAATTCATTAAATTTCAATAAAAATAAAAAAAAAAAACCCTATACTAGATAATTAAACTTACGTAAATTACAAGTCGGACCTGTAAAACCTATTTGACATAAACATTCAGCTATTGTTGGACCTATTTGTCGACATGTACCATCATTTAGACATGTATTCATCGAACAAACTGATGCTACAAAACAAAATAAAAATTTTATTTTAATCAATTAACAACAAAAAAAAAACAATGTATTTTTATTTACTCCATTCACAACGTGGTCCAGCATAATTTGTTGGACATATACATTGAATATTCGTACTATTATGATCACATATACCACCATTTAAGCAAACATTGGGATTACACGATAAACCCAAATCTATTTTAATCAAATAGAAAAAAAAAAAAGAAAAATTGACGTTCTTACATATTGAACAATCATAATGTCCATAACCAGGTGAACAAAGACACATAAAATTATTTTGTGGACCAAGTACAATACAACTACCTTGATTTAAACAAGGTTGTTTTTGACAAGTATTTGTATATTGACATCGATCACCTGTTAAATAATTTGGACAAATACATTTATAATTTGGAGGATTTGTATTTTCTATTTGTTGACATGTTGATAAATGACGACATGGTGAATTAGTACATGAAGTTAATACACCTAAGAAGAAGAAAGAAAAACTAAAAGCCATTAATACAGTTTCTACAGAATTAAAAGATAAAATATGATATAACTGCATTTATTAATCACAGGAAGATTGTTTTAGAACACATTTCTTTACCATTATTTTACTTAATCCTTCGAAAACGTAATAAAGCAGTAGTTCATCTATTATTACGAGTGACGACCTTTTATCGTATATTAACAATATCTGTAACGCTTTCATGCTTACGCGTCTGTCACGACTTGCGAAGGATCAAAATTTTTATTCCTATACCTTCAATACTTCTTTTAGATCGTGGTTTTACAAAAGAAAAATAAATAGATAACATGAGATTGAAAAATAAATTTACTAGATTCACATGATTGTCCAGTTAAACCATTTGAACAAATACAATAATAAGATGATATAGATGTTTGAATACAGGTACCATCGTATCCACAAGATTCTTTTGAACAATTACTGATAGATAATAATGATATTTGACAATACTGTCCAGTATAACCTTGAGAACATAAACAATGTGCTGTATAATTATTAGATCTTGTATCAATAAAACAAATTCCATGATTTGAACAAGTTGTATTTGCACATACTGTTTGAATTGTTTCACATCTTTGAAAAAAAAAGAACTTTTTTCTTTTTATAAAACAAAAAAATTTTAAAACTTACCGATTACCAGTTGTATTCGGTGGACATTGACAATATGAAATATTAGTTTCTTCATTTATCAAACAAATACCACCATTCAAACAGGATATTGTTGAACAAGATGTATCATTTTGTTCACAATAAAGACCAGTTGTACCATTTAAACAAATACAACTAATCGAACATGTTGTTGAAGAACAATTCATTGTAGATGGAATACATTGAGCATTATTTTGACATGGTGATGAAATACAACCATTTACTAAATATTTAAATAGAAATATATTTATTCTCTTATGAAATTCTATTGAAATCTTAAATTTTACAATAATATCACTTACAATATTCACATCGTGTACCTATATAACCATTTTGACATTCACATCTATATCCACCATCAGATATATTTAAATTTCGAATACAATAACCATTATTTAAGCAAGGATTCGGTGTGCATACATTTATAATTACATCACAATTAGTACCACCATATGGTGATATACATTGACATGAATAAGTATTTGATGATATTAAACAGTTACCTCCATTTTTGCATGGACTACTCCAACATGGATTTGCACCAATTTCACAATTTGTACCTATTTAATTAATTAATTTATTTATTTGTTTATATTCAAAAAACTTAATTATAATAATAACCTGTTGTATCATTTGGACAAAGACATGAATGACCACAAATTTTTCCAAGACAATTCGATGATGTTACACAAGTACCTTGATTACATGGATTTGATAAACAACTATTAACTATAAATACAAATCATTATAAAATCTTTTTTTGCTTCTCTTTTCTCTTACTCATATCACATCGACTACCAATATAACCATTATTACATTGACATTGAAAATCTCCACTTATTGTTTCAGTACAAGTTCCATTAACACAAGGATTTGATTGACAAACATTATTAATAATTGTAGTACATTGATCACCACTATAACCATTTAAACATGTACAATTTGGTATATCACATGATGTATCCATACAAACAACTGTACAAAGACCATTATTATGACAATAATCATTACATGGATTTTCTAAAAAAAGAAAAAGATATTTCTATCTTGGAATCAAATACTTGTTCTAGTTTTTTTTTGAATCAACAGACCTAATTGACAAAATTTTCCTCGATAACGATCCGAACATGAACAAGTTCCATTAATTAAACAGACACCTCCATTTACACATTGACATGTATTTAAAATATTAATATCCGGTGTAAATAAGGGTGTTTGACACATTACACCTGTATAATCAGTTTTACATTGACAAATAAATTGATTTGAGGATATTTGAAGACATATGCCATTTGATGAACATGGATTTGTTTGATTTTCACAAGAACCTAAAAATAGAATATCAAAATAGAATTACAATAAAAATTATCTGACCATTTATAATTGCAGATATTGGTGAAATAGTAGTTGTTAAAATAGAATTTGTTGAATTTGATATACATAATGATGATGATGATGATGGAAAACAAGTACATTGTCCAACATTTGATGTTATATCTTGTAAACATGGACATGATTCTGTTGTACAATTTGCTGTTAAACAGCCAACTAAATTTAGAATTATTGTTTTATTTTTTCTTTTAAATAAACAATAAAAATGTTTTCTTACTTGAAATACAATTAATTAAATTTATACTTGTTGTAAGTGATTTATGAAAAAAATGATCTTGTAGTTTAAAACTATTTGTATCGTTTAGTAATGTATAAGAACCCATTGAGAACATTAGCGATACATCTGATGTAAAACTAATATCATCAATATCTCCTGTTGTAGTAAGTCGTTCAAATGTTATATAAATATTTTGACTAGTCATATTCGTTTGAATAACACAAAAATCTTGTTGATTATCAATTGATGGTATTAAATATCCTTGAGAATATCTTTTGAACACAATAAATAAAAAGAAAAATAATTTTTTTTAAAATTTTTTTTTTCATACCTATCTTGAATTATTTGAGTTCCAGGAAAAAACATTACTACATCCATATTATTCTAATAATCAACAAAACTATACTTTTTAAATAAATTTTCAAAAAAAAACAACACACGAACCATTGTTGTTGCTGTATCAGACCATCCAATTGCAATATAAGTCGATGTAAGATCAATGCTTGAATTTGCTTGACCTAATAATATTTAATAGATGAATTATTTATTTCATAAATAATTTACCTTGAATGATAAATTGAACAGTATTCGAACTGATATCATATTTCCATGAAATGATAAATAAACCAATAGTTAAATCTTGAATAGTCCATATTCCTCCAGAACATTGACTTTCTACTTCTATAGTACGAAAGAAAATAATCAAAACAAAAAAAAAACATTTTTATTTTATTCTTTTTAATGAACGTACGTCTAATATTTTGAATAATTAATAATAATAATAATAGTAAATATGAAAGATGTCTCATCTAAAAATATAAAAGAAAGAATCTCTTATATTGGAATAATGTTCATCCTATTTATTCTTCATTGTTCGATAAGAATGAACAGTGATTGAAGTCGGTTAATTTTGTTCGGTTTTTTTTTTCTTTTTCTTGACTCACTGCATGAACTACTACTACTACTACTATTGTACATATACATCGATTGAAAATGAAGAAAGAGAAAAAAAATTTGTAAAGAAAGTGAAAGGAGAACAAGCATGAACGGTAGACATATGAGTTCATCGAACTTCCATACACTATACTTACCTTCATCTATAATCTTGCTTTTGTGTTGTTATTATTATTGATATACGCTTCTATTTTACTTTGTTTTTCTTTTTTCTATATGAAAGACATAAATACTATTAAATCATATTGGATATCTCATTAAAATCAGATTTGACAATATAGTAGGCGTTGTTTTGTCAGGCATATGTTTATTATGGTACAAATCTTCTTATTGATGCTCAAATTTTAAAAGAATAGCCATTATATTAACTGATATCGTTATTGTTTTATTAGAGAAATTTGATTTAGTAATAAAAAGAAATTTATTTTTATGATTTATCTTGTTGATTAAAAAATGAAATAGACAGAACATATCTATTATGAATATGATAAAGAAAATATCATTGATAAGAAATTTTATGATTTATAATTTGAAGTTTATTAAATAAAATGATTGAATATCTTTTAAGTACAACCAAATAAGAATTGAACATTTCATTCTTTTAGTTTCAGATTTCTATTTATTATTTTAGCAGAATTAGTGAAAATTAACCAATAATAGATACAGTTTTTCTATTTACATAATCGTCTTTTATACGATGAGAAACTTTTCATAAGCAAAAAACAGTAGACAGGCCACAATGTAGAACGAAAGAAAGATCGACATGTCAGCAATATGTTGTCTCTCTGCAGTACATAAAATATTATAAATAACATATTGTTTTCTTTACAAAGACTTGACACGTATATTCAACTATACATCAATTCCAATTAAACAGAAATTTGCTCGTCAATAATATTAATTATGTTACTTGATATTTTCTTGAGCTTTGCAAATCTAACTTGAATAAACTATCTGTACGTTAATATATTCAATTAACATTTGTATTTTTTTTTTGTGTTTCATCTTGCATCATAAAAGTATTCTGATAAACATACATTTCTTTTTTTTTTGTTATTTCTAATGAGTCCAATCATCTTGGAAGAAATTGATAATAATCATACAAATATACGGATAGTACAGATTGGCGATTCTCTTGTCTTTCTTTGGTTTTTTTTTGGGTGTTGTTGTTCATAGAGAATGTGATGTATTACACAATAAGGAAAGGACAGTTATCAGTACATATAAGATGTATATGCATGGCTGCAAAATGTCATGATGTAATCAAGCTTTTTGTTGCTTGTTTATCATAATAGAACAACAACAATAAAGTACCATTACCTCCTGACCTTGACACATGACTTAGATCTTTTTTTGTGTCAAATAATAAAAAAAAATAAACGACAAGTTAAATATTATTCATATCAATCGTTACTAAGTAATGACAATAATGATGAAACGCACAATTAGTTAATTGTACACACAAAGTGTTGATATCTGTTTATACTAATAGAATGACGAAGTTGAAAAAGATTACATACAAACTATTCTTATTCTCTTTCCATCATTTTAGTGTTTTTACTAAACGATTATGAAATGTGTTTGTGCTTTTGTGTATATGGGTCAGTTTACTTTATAAATATATACATATCTATCACTATATCCTAGTACGGCTTCACGCTATCCATTGATCGATGCCTGGAGGGAAAGAGAAAATAAAACAACATTGATGGAAAGATGCTTTGCAAGCAAAAAAAAATCGTTACTGTAATGATAACATAAACTGAGAAGAAAAAAAAAAAGAAGAAAAGATCTCTGCTTGGCCATAGGCCGATTATCAATAAATTACATCGAACAGTGAAGAAAGAGCAACATAACAGGACTAACTGTCCATCAGAAGAATATTATAATGATGAGTATTACGTTATCAGAATAGAGCAGGAAACACAAAAAAAAAAGAAAGAAAGAAAGAAACGAAAGATATTCTCGACGATATCTAACTAATCATTTTGTGTAATAAATAACTTTGAGTTCATTTGAAGATTAATAAAACAGTAAAACAAAAACGATGGCTACTTATTGTTCTTATTTATTATCATTATTGTTTTTATTACTGATAACACATGTATGTATTAGCATAGAATATTCTATCTTTTAATATCATTGTAATTTTTCTCTTTGATGAGCAGTATAATCTTAGTCAGAACTTGTCAGAAGAACAATGATATAAAATTTTTATATAAAAAAATCAATTGTTTTTTTGTTGTTGTTATTAGTGTGTCAATACTGCTAGTCTTCGTTCGTATTTATATTCATTTTCAAAATCGTCTTTGGATAATCGATATCATCCATCCATTGTTGATAATGAATTGACAACATCAGAACCCATATTATCACGAAGACGGCCTCTACTGTCATCAAATGAACGACGAAAACGTTGGACAAAAGAAGAAGATAATGATGAAGTTGAAATTCCAATTGATGAAACAAATATTGAACAAATGATTAGTACAACTACCATTGATAACGAATCAATAGTATTAAAAAATAATTCAAATGACATTTTTTCATTCGATTCAACTATGAACATAGAACAGTCAAATATAAACAATTCTCAAATAAATTTCGATGAAAATTCTACTATAATATCAACAATAGCCGAAATAAAATATCCATTATTACGACAAGATATAATTGAAATCAATGAAACAAATGAACTAACAACTATTTCAATTAATGATGATATTTTACAAAATAATAAAACTGATATTGAACAATCAATTGAGAACAATGATAATTTAACTACAATTACTAACATCTTTCCATTAACAACATCCAATGAAATCACTGATATTAGTTCAACAGGATCAGAAACATTATCAACAAATGTTACTGATATCAATCAAGTAATATCAAATGAATCCGCTACTGATACAATTGATAATCTGACAACTATTGAAATCATCAGCAAGTTTTAATTATATTAAATCTAAATCTGTTTTTTTTTCCGTTTCGTTCTATTGTTATAGGTAATGAAACAGAAACATCATCAATTCCAATTTCTATAAATCAAACTGTAGAAGAAACATCAATTATTTCTCAAACTGAACTATCAACAATAACTGAATTCGAATCCGATCCATCCACTATTCTTCTCAATTATACTACAATTCTTCCAGAAGAAACAAATGATAATCAAAAATTAATTGATTCAGGAACAACAATTGTTTCAGAATATAATACTACAGTAATTGATGAAAGTATTGACACTACAATCATTACTAATGCTACACAAAATGATACAACATCCGTCGAAGAAGGAATAACTAGTATTACAACCATATTGGATGTACTAAAAAATGTTACAACAATAACTGATCAAGGAATAGATGATGATACTACTATGACATCGGAAGTCACACAGACTGATATATCAACTATGATTACTGATGATGATGATGAATATTCAAATGAAACTACAAGTTCTTTACCAGAAACAGCTGTAAAACCTATATGTGATCTTTCATGTCAATGTTCACAAGAATGTCCATATGGATTTGAAATTATTGGTAATAAATGTAAATGTGATCCACCTTGTAAAGTAAGTTATACTAAAAAGAAAATATTCTTATTCAAATAATTTTGTTTATTTTCATAGAATTATCAATGTTTTGGTGACGATATATGTACGGTAACAAAAAAAGGACCAGCTTTATGTCAACCAAAAAATGGAACAGAATATGGTAAATAAAAAAATAAAAAATCTCTCTTTTTTCTTTTGTCTAATTATTTTATTAGGTCGTCCAATTCGTTGTTATCAACCACGAGATGCAGGTTATCATGATATTAGTATTCGATATCATAATCGATGGTATTATGATCCTAATCAAGATACATGTCATTTATTTGTTTATCGTGGTTTGGGTGGAAATGAAAATAATTTTGAAACATTACACGAATGTCATTTGGAATGTATTAGTATGTTTTGAATATTTTCTTTTTTTGTAAAAAAAAAAAGAAAAAAGCAAAATAATGTTTTTGATAAAATTTTTTTTAGCTTGTGCTCCAGCACCAGATCGAGGTTCATGTTTAGGTCATCTTCCAATGTGGTATTATGATTATAAACAAAAAAAATGTTCAAGATTTGATTATTCAGGTTGTAAAGGTAATGAAAATAAATTCTTACGAAAACAAGAATGTATTGATACATGTATTACTCGAATACTCAATATTTAAAATGATCGATATTTATTTATTTGTTCTCTTTTTTGTTTTGTCTTCTGTATTCATATCAATTAGCTTTGTGTTTCTAATATTTTATTTCTGCTTATGTGTGTTTATTCAATTTATATAAATTTTTGTTTGTTAAACAAACAACTATAAAACAAATAAGACAAATATTGTCTATTCTATAATAATGTTTCAAGAATGTAACGACAACTAAGATAATACGTCATCTTTATGGCTTAAATGAATATATCTCACGTATAAGAATGTTATTCAAAGTCTCGAAGAGGTAACTTTGATGTTATAGTAGAAATCCACTTGTTCCTAAGATAAAATTTTAGTAGTCTTTTTTTGTTTTTATTTGTAATTCACAATATATTCTTAAAGTCTGTCCTAAATTAGGTTATAATGTGAGTAGTTTTTCGCTATAAAAGCATTTTCTACAAAAATCATCGGCGTCAATGTATTTCACAAAAAGTTGATGATATCTACAGAACTAAATTTGATAAGTATATTCGATTGTTATTAACTTATCCATAGCAATCATCAAAATATGAATGTAATTTGTTCGCTTTTCCAACTTTTAGAATAATAAATTGGTAACTCATTCATACTACCGTGTCAACTAATGTTCGACTAGTGAAAGCAACCTAAAGAAGTCATTGTAATCTTTTCTCGTCATTATTCATAATTAATAGAATAAATAAAGTTTTATTTGTTACTTTTCTTTAAATAAATCATGCAAGTTTTATTTCCTGAGAATAATCATGAATATGTTCATAAATAAATTGAATATTTTTATAGTAAGATATCAGAAGAGAAAGACAAAAATAATAAATTTTCTAAAGACAAAAATTAAAGTCACATTTTGTACAGACAAGAAGTAATGATGGTTGTGTACCATCTTCATTTTGCCATAATGTTGAATGAAGTTTTGTTTCTTGACAATGAGACATTGTTTGTCGATGATAAGCATGAATTTCATTTAATGATCCATTTTTAATTTGATATTGAAATGTACATTGTCGACATCTTATAGGATAATTAGATGAAAATTGAAAAAGTGAATCATTTGAACAAATTGGACATTGAGTTTGATTAAATTCATCAATTGATGGTATATATTCAGGTTGTTCATCAGGTATCGATTGTAATTGTTCTAATTCAAGTTCACGACGAATTTCATCCATAATTGACCAATTAGCTTCAAATTCAGTATCTTCAGGTGACATTAATAAATTATTTCCATCCATATCCATTGATGTAACAGGTGTTGGTGGTAATGAACCAAACATTTTAATCCATTCTGATTCAACAATATCACGAGCTGATAATGTTGGTTGATTATCATCAAACTTAAAATTAAATAATTTCAAAAGAAAGTAAAAAAGAAAAACAATTAAAACATACAGAAAGTTGTCGCATTTTATTAACAATTTTATCACGTGCTCGTTTGAATTGTTGTTTACAATGAAGTCGATAACGATCTTTCCATGTTTCATCACTACGTACTGTTGGTGATGGCATTTTATACAATACTGAATGTGTCGTTTGACGAGCTGGAGAACCAGAATATGTTGACATTCTCTAGAATTTTTTATGAAAATCTAAAAACAGAATTAAAAAGAAAATCTTTATATTTTTTTTTTCCCATTGATAATAGAAAATAACCTTTTGATCTACAAAAGACTCGTTTGTATACGTACAATTCAAGAATTGCTTTTTCGATATATATAGTCAATACCATACGAATGGGTCTTGCCACAGGAAGTTTTCAGTTATGAAAGTGTATTTTAATCTATAGGTAAGATAATTACCAGGTTATGAAGTGGATTTTGTAAATGTAAGAGCTACTAGAGGTATAAACCAATGTATTCATCGGCGACGGCTACAAAATTCTCAGGCTTCGGCGGCGACAGTGGCTGGAAATGTTTGAAATTCCGACGCGGCGGCTGTGAGTATTTGAAACTACGGCGGCACTAGTGGCTGAAAGTTTTCGATGAATTTTTTTTTTGAAAATTTTCTTAATTTTGAAATTTGAAAGAGAAAAAACGATGGTAGAGAACTTATTGATAAGAAGCCAGATGGTAACATTTCCAAAAACTGATTTGGAATGTTGGACATTATTAAAAATCAAATATCTATTTTTATGTGACAGCGATTGAAGTCTTCAGCAACTATTTTAGGCAACAGCGGCTCAGCCGATCAGCTTACACTTCTAACAGTAAGATGCTATTTTCTTCTTTTCGAGATAAATTTTTGGAAATGGTTAAATCTTCCTTGATCCGATTGGACAATCTAATACAATGGTTTCAATCAGTATTTTTCAGACTTTTAGATGAAATATAATTAACGATTATTCCTGTCCTTCATCAATCATTGTCAGACATGATTTGTTGTCCATATTTGACAATCTCCTGGATTAATCGTTCATTCTCTTCCTAGTCATTAAATTGTATCTGTAAACAAAAAAGTCATTTGATGGGTGAAGTCCTTGCGTTTATATCCTTGAAATTCTTATTGGTGTTGAATAACAGAGTTACAATTATATCAGTGAACAACTTGATGTCCAGCTATCTCGGGAACAAATAAGATTGTTGATGATAGTAAGCAGCTTCGAGACTAATATGCCCATTAGTTTAAATTTGAATTTGGTCAACTGGTGTCAATATGAAGCGTCCAAAAAATTAACAAAGAAAATTTTTAATATTTGTTTATCAAGAAAAGCTTTTTTTTTGTTAAACCCACAACAAATATACGACAACTAAGATGATAAAACAATAATGATAAATACAAATAAAATGAGACCCTAAGTAGATAAATGACCAGACAACAACATTGAGTAAATAATTCATTTTTTTTTGTTAAGTTAAAGTTGAAGTTTGATTGGTTTAGGTAAACTTGTCTTATGTTCTAATAACATATCTGTATCCATAGCAATACCAGCACATGCTGAAAGAATATTTGTTATACAACGATGTTGTTTAAAGAGTGCATTGATAACTGGTGTACCAGGTGGAACCATAGGAGCTTTAAGAAGATACGATAAAATTGATAAAACAGCTTCAAATGATTGATATTCTTCATTATCACTTGTTTTATATGTAATACGTGTCATTAATTCAGTTAAAATAACTAAATCAATAATTAATGGTGAAGCTAAAAGTGAATCTTCACATGTATTGTGAATAGCTATTGTATTAAGACCATTCATAAATATTGATGATATATATTCATCCATAGCACGTTTCGAATCTAAAAATAAAATGAGTTTTTTTTTTTTGGTATTAAGCGTTTTCTCAAAAATTGATTTTGGACCCAAGTACATTCAAATCACATGAAATTTTCAATTCTATATGATGAAGTTTTCGGAAGATACTCAACAAATAAGGATAAGAAATAGTTCATCTCACAACTCAAAATTCTTTGTAGATTAGAGCCTGTTGAGTCTACAATTTGGAGGTCCGAGCCTGGTCGAACCGTACTTCGATATTATCAATGAAATTTTCTAATCGGAATTGAATAGTTACTCCGAAGACAAAAGATAGATTTTTCTGAACTTTGTATTTGATGACTAGTACACCCTACACATTTTTTTCAGACGATTAGAGCTCATCAGGTTCAAAATTTTCAAATCCGGAGTCGGCTAGCAGAAAAATAAAAGCAAAATATTATTTTTACCTTTAACAAAAGGAACATATTTAATGACAACAACATGATCAGGATGTTCATTTATTTTTTTATTATAAAGTAAATGATTAGCTCCAACCATATCATCAACAACATTTGATTTACTAATTTCTTTTGAACGAAATTGTTGTGGTGCACTTAAATTTTTTCCATCATTATTCCCTAAATGATTATATGAAACAATTGATTGAAGTTTCAAACCAGCTGAAACAAGAAAATCAGCAAGAACTGATTTTAATTTTGTTTGTCCACTTTTAAAATCATCACCACCAATAAAAACCTGATGTTTAGTTGCAAGTTCAATTAAACCAGGTACTAATGTATTTTGTGGACTACCATTGATATAAGGACAATTTTCTAATATAGCAGCACAAGCAAATATATTTGATGGACTTATTTCATCTTCATTTGCAGCAATTGATCGAAGAATTTCATCACTTGTTTGATTTAAACCTGGACGAACTAAAATTGAAAAAAAAAACAATTTGGTTTTTGATTAAATATTTAAAAACAAAAAAAAAAAGTTTGCTTTTATTTTTACCATCAACATAACGTTCAGTATTTGCTGTCCATAAAATAATAACTTGTTCTAAATTATGAGTTTTTTTAAATGTTCGAATATCATTTCGTATATGTTCTAAATCTTGTTGTTTAGTTCCTTTTGGTATTAAATTATTTGCACGATCTTCTTGATTTGCAGCAATAAAATCAGGATAATAAATTGATGGTAATGGTTTTAATTGACTCATCATTGGTTTTAATTTTTCTTGTAATGCATAATCAAATACACAAGCTCGTTTCATTCCTTCATATAAATTTGCTCCATTTATATCCCATCCACCAATAACAATATCATT